ACGTGCAGTACCGATAAAGGTACAAATAAGAATTAAAGTTAGTAAACTTAATTAAAATAAATTTATAAAATGTATGTTATCGTTTTAACAGTGGAACGTTTGTTTATATATTTTTACTGAAAGTAAAAGAGTCTCTGCATTTATTAAGTTTATAATGACTTGAAACTATAATTTACCTATTGCTCCGAGTCTCAGTTATGGTGCATCAAAAATTTTTTTTTGTGAGAGACTCTCTTTTAATCTTTTTATACCATTTTCAAGTTTACACTGGCTTAAAGTGTATGATTTTGTTAAAGTCTCAGTTAAGGTGCATTAATTTTTTTTTTTTTAATAGATTAAGTCAAAACAAGTTTTAGAAAAAAAACATACTTAATTTCAGTAATGATGTTTATATACCTATTTCATTAAAATTAAATGTATTATTTAAAACTAATTAAATATGTTTATTTGTAAGGAAATACATTCATCTTTTTTTAAACACATAAGATCCAGCTTAGATTTTGTTTTGTTTTAATCTCTTTTTAAAAAATATATTTTTTATGGTACACTGTAACTGAGACTCCAGCTAAATCGTACATTCTGAGCAATTTTAAACTAAATACCATTCAAGGCTCCTTTTATTTTAGGCAATTATAAATTCTAATTTTATTAAATATAATGATAGAAATTATAAATATAGAATTATAAATAATGATAAATAATGTAAAAAATGGTAATGATAATAATTTAATGAATTATAAATATTATATATGTATTAATGACAATAATTTAATAAATTATAAATATTATAATGAATTATAAGTATAAATACAAAATTCTATTAATTACAAAATATTTTTAAGCATTAAACTATTTTTTTTTTTTTTTTTTATTTGTATTCACTCCCAACAAGGCTGCAAGCAACCACTATTAAGTTGGGAGTTACTAGGGAAAAAAAAGAACAGAGTTATAGAGCAAGGAAACGGTTGACAGAAGACTTGAAAAGTTGAAGGTTGTATGAGTCAGGAAAACATGAAGATGGGAGAGAGTTCCAAAGGATTGAAGTGCGGGGAAAAAAATTAGATGAATAAAAGTTTTTAGAGCATGCTGGGACAGATACAGTAAACGAATGAGACTTAGCTGAATGACGAGTAAAACGAGAACGAGTTTTAGTTGATGGAACTAGAGATGATAACTCCTTTGAGCAGTGACCATGATAGTATCTGTAGAAAAGAGAAAGAGATGCAACTTTACGACGATGGGAAAGAGGTTCAAGCTTAGCAGATAGTCCAGGTCCAACAACATTTACAATGCGTTTTTGGGCCTTGTCAAGAAGAGAGAGTGAATCGTTAGAAGAACCAGCCCAAATATGACAACAGTATTCCATACAGGGACGAATAAGAGATTTGTAGAGGTAGAGAATGGAATCAGAAGTAAGAAAACGGCGAGCACGATAAAGAGAAGCAACCTTAGCAGAAGCTAACTTAGCAATCGATTGTATATATGGTTTCCATGAAAGGTCAGTAGTAAGCGATAATCCAAGAAGACGTAGAGAGTACGACTCAGTAAGAGGATTGCCATTCATTAATATAGGAATGTTGACCATATTACGGTAGTTGTTTGCAGTAAGCAATTGGGTTTTTTTAGAGTTGAAATTCACAAGCCACTGTGAACCCCAATTTATTACTGAAGTGAGATCAGATTCAAGATCAGCTGCTTGCTCAAGGCGATCGAAAAGAGAAGACTTTTTGTCAAGACAGGAGTATAAAGTTGAGTCATCAGCAAAAAGAGCTACTTTAGATGAAAGGTTGTCAGGAAGATCGTTTATGTAGATAAGAAACAAAACAGGGCCCAGGATGGAACCTTGGGGAACCCCAGAAGTTACTGGAAATAAAGAAGAGTGTTGGCCTTCAACGATGACTTTAATAAACCGGTCAGAAAGAAATGATTTGATAATCTCAAAAACTTTCCCAGAAACACCATATGAAGCAAACTTATGGAGAAGACCAGCATGCCAAACTTTGTCTAAAGCTTTAGATATGTCGAGAGCAATAGCCCTAGCCTCACCGCCTCCATCTAATGCACGATAAAATCTTTCAGTTACAGCAGTTAGCAAGTCGGCCGTAGAGCGAGAGGATCGAAAACCGTATTGATCGTCTGACAGCAGTTTATTTGACTCAAGATGAGATCTGAGAAATTTGTTGATCAAAGACTCAAAGACCTTGCTAATAACAGAAAGAAGACTCGGATCGATCGGACGATAATTGGAGGGGTCAGAATTTTCTCCAGAGTTTTTGAATATTGGAACCACAGATGCCATTTTCCAACAAGCAGGAAAACAAGACTCAGTCAAACACTTGTTAAATAGTTTAGAGAGAATTGAAGAAAGTTCTGGAGAACAATTCTGCAAGACTGTGACAGGAATGTTGTCTGGATCACAAGCTGTAGACGAGTTTAATTGAGATATGACTTTAGCAACAGAATCCAGAGTGATTTGAATGTCTAACAATGGGTCAACCTGTTTGACTGGAATGGAAGGAAGAGAATGTCCATAAGATTCTAGAGTGGAGTTAGAAGAAAAGTTCTTCTCAAACAGTTCTGCCTTATCCCTGGGAGAGGTAACAAGATCAGTCCCATGAATGAGAGATGGAATGTTAGATCTACCCTTGTTAACAATGCTGTTGAAGATTTTCCAAAAAGTCTTTAGAGCCTAACTTCTGCGATAAGATGCGAGATTTAGTGAACTGAGAATAATGGAGTTTAGCATCAGAAAGCACCTTTTTACATCAATTTCTTGCAATAATAAATAGCCGTTTGTTCTCAAGAGAGTTGTTCTTTTGAAAAAGATGAAAAAAATGGTTACGATTGGATATAGCAGCCGCACAAGAAGGAAAAAACCATGGAGTAGAATGAGGTTCGACTTAAAACCGACGAGAAGGAATAAAAGCTTCCATTCCAGCCTGAATCCAGGAGGTTACGTAGGAGGCGCATTTGTCAGCTGAGAGAAAAAAAACATCAGCCCAAGGATCATCACGAAAAAAATCAAGAAAGGAATCCCAGTCAGCTTTAGGGTAGTAGTAGGTGGTGCGATGATAAGGTGAGCCCAAAAAAGAAGTACGAGAAGAAAGATTTATAGAGATCATTGCGTGGTCAGAACCACCTAAGGGAGAAAAGGGAGAAACTGAACATAAGCTAGGGTCAGAGACAAGACATAAGTCAAGGAGTGAAGGTAAATGATTAGGGTTGTCAGGAAAACGAGTCACAAAGTTAACTATCTGAGTAAGAGATTGAGAAACGCAGAAGTTAAAGGCTTTAGTGCCAGCAGGATCAGTGGTGTTAGAGCCAAGCCATTCAGTGTGATGGGCATTAAATTCACCAACAACAACAATATTGGCAGAGGGGTAAAGAGAGAGGGCATGGTCAATTTGATCAGAGATAACATCTAAAAGAGTGCAATCATGGGAAGAAGGAGAACGATAAAGAACAAAGAGAAAGGTGATAGAGTGAAGAGGTGCTAGGCGAAAGCACATAAAAGAATGGTCAAAGGATTCGAACATGGTTTCACGACAAATAGGGGAATTTATGCGTATGTATACCCCTAAACCTAGCATTTGACTATTGGAGTCTTTACGAATCAAAGGATAGTACCCATTAACACTGACATCTGAAGAAGGAATTGCAGAACTTAAATTTGTTTCATTGAGTGCAAGCAAGTCTGGCGAAAAAAAAAAGGTAAGACTCAACTGATGGAAAGTTGCTTCGTAGACCGCGAATATTTGTAAAAGATATATTAAAATATTTAGGTGGTGGGGATGGTTTTTCAGGTTTTAGTTTTTTGGTTACTTTGGTCATGATTTGGGTTTAATGAGAACTTGACTCATTCATAGATAGAGCACAGCCTCCTAATCAATGAGCTATGCAGTTGTCTCAGTCCTGTTAATTAACCCTAAGCCGTGACATAGGGCTCCTTATGTGGCCTTGACAATGCACACCAAAAGCATTAACAGGAACACCATCCATGCGCAACATGGCACTGTTAAAACTCTGATATTTTGCAGCTGTTGATGGAATCAGCCTCTCTGAGAGCTACCACTGAGTTTGGGAAACCTTACTACCAGCCGGCCTCAGAACCATTAAACTGAGTTTTAGAGCTGTACCCTCATATGGAGATAACAGGAAGAGTTGCATAGCCATTATCAAGGAGGCATAAGCAAAATTCTATGAGTAGAGTCAAGGAGATCCAGCATTCATCATCCTAAGCAGAAAACAATGTAACATAGGTTACATCTACGCCAGTCTAATAGATGAAGAAGGGGTTCGAGGCTGGTTAGCAGAATTTTTCTGCTTACCCCTAAAGTCTTTGCCTAGGAGGCCTTCTACAAGACAGTAGCAGGATGCAGTTAACATCTGCCCAAGATGAGTATTTTTATCGAGACACCATCTCTAGCCTTTACTCAACCAAGAGCCCCAAGGCAGGGGATGTTTAGCTGGATGCAGTTAACATCTGCCCAAGATGAGTGTTTTTATCGAGACACCATCTCTAGCCTTTACTCAACCAAGAGCCCCAAGGCAGGGGAATTTTTAGTCGGAGTTTATTTCTCCTAGCCTTTGCATAAGAAGAGCACACTCTGCAAGGCAGCAGGGCTTGTGGCAGGTGGTACTGGGTTACGTGATACCAGTAGCAAGATTGATCTTGATTATCCTGACCTGACCTGGAGTAGTTAAAAGGAGCTACTTCCCGCAACAGTTCTTTGAGAAAACCAGGCATGACATTTTGGAAGTGCATTAGGAAAAACACTGCATCTAACAAAATACAGGAGTCTAAGGTGAGTGTACGTTTTGTAGTTGGAGTTAGTAGTTAGTTACTGAGCTCACGCTGCATTAGAGTATAAACAGAACACAAACAAACATAAATCAACTTACGGGTGAGTCAACACCGCGCCAGAGGTTCAGACAGAACACAAACATACATAAAAAACATAAACAAAACATACATAACACAAACATACATAAAAAACATAAACAAAACATAAAAAACACAAACTATTAACAAAGAAGAAATTAGTCAGCTAATTGAAAGCAAGATACACAGTTCTGATGATGAAATTTTATCTGACAATAACAATGGTAATAGTTTTTGTATTTAAATTTATAAGTTTTCGATTTAGTATTTTTTATAAAGTTTATAGTTGTTGTTATAGTTATTGAATCCAGACACAAACATGGGCATAAAAAACACTACTGTCTTATTTTAAACTTCTCTCAAAAATCCCAAGGCATTTAGAACATAATCATAAACATGAAGAACTTGTTATAGAAGCCCTTCATTATCCAAAAAAAAAAGTAAAGAGCGAAGAAATATGTAGACTTATATAGAGAGGAAAGGTGATTTTAATGTAAATATAAATAACATTAAAAATTCTAAAAAAATAACATCTGTAAGAAAATGTACAGTCAACAAAGATGATGAGCTATTGCCTTATGAATATTGTTATGGTTTTTTCAGAGCAAGGAAACTTTGTGAACATGTTTCAAAGTGTTTTAGGCGTGGTAGTGATAGCAACGAAATAAGTTATATGAAAGCTTCTCAAATATTAGTAGGCCAATCCAGTTTGACCGACAATGCTAAAATTGTACATGAGTATATACTTACAACTATGAAACATGATAAACTTCACCTTGTTATTCGCAATGATAAGTTATTATTGACCTATGGAGCAGTTGAAGTTGGTAGAAAAGAAAGAGATCGTTACCATGATGTAGGCTATGCACTTCGAGTTTTAGCTAAGTTATTGTTGCAATACAGAAAACAGTTTAATGCAGAAGATGCATCTGCCAAAGATTTAGTCAATACAAAAAACTATGATATCATTGTTTCTTCTATGAAAGTTTGTGCAGATTATTGTGGACCAAGAAAAATTGGAAATCCTTATCTCGTTTTAAGAATAGGATATTCTTAAAAACTTTAGCTATAATAGTCAAGTTAGAGTACCTGAAATTAGGATTACAAGACATGGTTAAAAACATTCAAAATTTTTTAGAGCTATTGGAATCAGACTACAGTATTTTTTTAAACAATGCACGTAGTGTATATGATTTACGAAAAGCCAATGCACCAGATATGTTGCCAGAAGAAAGTAACATTAAAGTTTTAAGAAATTATTGTGTTAGTGAAATCAGCAAGTATTTAAACAATACGATTCTTACATCTAATGAATATATACATTTGTGTAAACTTACTTATGTAAGATTACTAACATTTAATGCTAGGCGAGGTGGAGAACCTGGAAAGTTAACATTAGCAGATTGGGCTATGGTAAAAAAAGGCAGGTGGAAACGCCAAACTGACATAGATGCTTTAGATAATCCAATAGAAAAAAAGCTTGCAGAACGATTTAAACTATGTTACATTGAAGGCAAAAATAATGGAGAGGTATGGAATTTTGTTTTTATTCACTTATTAAAAATTTAATGACATCTTATTTTATATATTTTTCTGTTCAGATATTGAGAAATTTTTGTATTCAGAAATAAAATTTTAAATGCTTTTTTCATGCTGTATATGTTATTAAATTAGGTTCTTCTGTAAAATCATTAGTTCCGATTATTTTTACTGAGGAAGTTGTTGGTCCAATCAGACTATTAATCAGCTCAAGGCATTATGTTAATATTTTTCCAAAAAATAATTATGTTTTTGCCCGTGGTACAGGCTGTTTTAAACTACGTGGTTGGGACGCGCTGCAATCTTTAACAAAAAAGCTTAATTTATTGAAGCCAAAGCTTATTACACCAACTAGAAAGTATTTGTCAACCATTCTGCAGTTGTTAGACATGAATAATGCTGAGCTTTTGTGGCTCACAAATCACATGGGGCATACTAAAGATATTCATCAAAATTGGTATCGACGTGAGGATTCTACTATCGAATTAACAAAAGTAGCAAAAGTTGTTCTTGCTATGGATAATGGCGATGCAAGGTGCATTCAAAATAAGAAAATCGATTCACTATTATAAAATAGTTTTGAAGGAATTGGTTTGTTTTTTTTACTTAATAACTTTTTTTATTTTTTATTTGACTTTTTTTTTCTGCATATAAATGTTGGTTACCTGTAATAAAAAATTTTTTATAGGTGAGTTAAGGTGAGTATATATTGAGATCATTTGCAAAACGCCTTAAGTTTAAGTAAACTCATTTTAAGAATGAAATGAAAAACTACCCTTAGCATCAATAGAAACTGATATTTTCTTTTTCCAGTTTTAAGCCAAAAATTTTTTTTTTTTTTTCAGCCCAATATTTAGATTTTCAAATTTCAGTAAAATGTGGAAATGGAATTAACTTACAATTTTTGTGACTTTTTACAATTTTTTGTGAGTTTTTGTGCAGATAGGCACCTCATGTTTTGTCTTAAATATCCCGTTTTGTAAAATAGTCTTTTTGAATGCTAAAAAACCTTATTATAAATCTGTTTTTAACTGCTTAGTGTCGTTTTATATTACAAATACAAATATAATGAATAATAAAGCTTTTAAGACAAATTGGTGTGGAAAAATAGGTGTATAACAGCACCCACAAATGTGTTTTAAAACAATTTTGATTTTAAAACAAATGTTTAACGTTGATTCATGTAATAGTTAAAAAACAGGTAATGCCCTTTATTCAAATTTATAAATTGTTGCAGTTGTAACCATTTATTCGTTATTGGTTATAGAGATATCAAATGTTAATACAGGAGGAAGTGCTAATGTTTGCACTTATTCAGATGAAGATGTTGGAGATGCAAATAGCAATGTTTTAGATGAAAATAGCAATGTCATTAATTAATGTCGAACGTAAAAGAATACAAAATAAAAGACTAAACATGCACAAAGAGGTTATTTTTTGAAATTAAATTAACTTTGCTTTTCTCTTTAAAAAGAAAAATTCGTTTCAAAATTATAAACAAATCTTTAGTATTTGAATTTTGTTGTTCCTTATTATTTTGTGTTCTTATTTAGTCAAAAAAAACTTGGAAAGGTTGGTCGGAAGAAGAAAACGCATCACTTCGTAAAGCATTTTTGATATATATCACGAGAAAGATTCCGTGTCCGCTTCTTGATGTTAAAAAAATTATCGAAAGTATACCTTGTCTTCAAAGAAGAGGGCATAAGATCGTTAAAGACAAATTAAACAATATTATTAGAAAGAGATGATTTATGCGTGTTTATTTATTTATATACAAATAATGATGTTTTAAAGTAATTATGTTGAAATCAAATTTATTAACTTTGATTAAATATTATATAATTATTTCAAGTGTATTATAATTTAAAAAGATCAGTGTTATATTTGTATTATGAATATATATCAAATCGCAAAAAATATTTATTTACTTTGTTTTTATGCATATTTTAAATTTCTCTAATAATTCACCGAAAAAAGATGTTTTGCGAGTAAATCCAACTTTAATCTTAAAATTTAATCATAAAAAAAGACTAAAAAAGATTCAATAACTTTGTTATAATGATTTTAATTTATCAACCTCTCAAAAAAAAAACTAAAATCATAAAACAGTTACAAAACGCTCGATACGAGAAAAAAGAAAAAAGAAATTGGCATTACAATTGTCATAATTTTTTTAAAGTGATTTTCAAAACAATTGAAAAAGTCGCGTTTAAAGAACGCGAGAAAATGCGCGTGTATGTAAATTGTGTAAGCTAATAACTTTATAGTGGAGCAGAAGTGGACTACTATCTCAGAATATAACACGGTATCTTAAGCATCTAAATGTATTTGGCATTATATTTGCAAAATAAAACAATATTTTTTTAGAGTGCCGATAATGGTGAGTTTTCTAGTTTTTTAGTGTAAGCTGAATGTTCGTGTAAAGCCCCATTATTGAGACTTAAAAAATAACCGTGCCACTCATCAAAATACATTGAATTAACATAGTTTTTGCTGTTATTTTTATCAAGACTTAAAAATGTCCCGACAAAAAAAAAAGTCCTCGTAAAGGGTCAGTATAAAACCGCAATGTCTCACTAAAGGTACGAATGTACTTACATACATACATACATACATACATACATACATACATACATACATACATACATACATACATACATACATACATACATACATAATTGTGTGAATTTTGCGTGGGTCAAATAAGGAAAGAATATGTAAGTCATTTGCTTGCCATTCTCTTTTATGGGATAGTTTTGGTGTTGTCTATGTATGGTTATAATGCTTATACCACAAAAACCGCACAATGCAACATTATATATGCAGGAAGCATAAGTCAAATATATCATATGCTTACTACTTCATATTCTCTGTAAGAAACAGCATTGGTGCAGCCTATGTGCAGCTATGATGCTTTTATTACTTTAAGTTTCACTAAAAATAAACAATCACCAACGTTATACTTACAGGAAAGTTTCACGTGGTAAAAACATATATAAAAAAAGTCAAACTTGTTTATATTTGTCCACTTATTCTTATATGAAATCAGACGCAAAACATATATCAGTTAAAAAACATGAAGAACAAAATATTATACTTTTTGCATTTCTCTATAATTTTATCCATAAAAAAATTTAATAAAATGTCTAACTGATTTGTTTTGTATTCGTTCCATACGCCACCAAGTTCTCATGAGTTATGTAATAAAGCGTTGATTGTCTCTTTATCTTCTTTAACTATCATTTTTAGATGCCTTCGGAAAATAAATAAAAAATATTTCATTTAAAATTCAGGTATAAATAAAATAGAAAAATAAAATTGATAACAATGGAGATTTGCCCACACTGTCAACCATTTGAGAATCTTTTTACCGCTCTTTTTAATGTTGCTTTTTTGCAGTAAACACAATGTGTTTATATGTTTCTTTTTTATTTAATAAAACTTTTAAATTTTTAAATTTATTTAGTATTACAAGTCTCAAAAATATTTATTATAATTTCATTGCTAAAAAGATACATAATATACATTTATTTCAATAAATCAACAGGTGGTGGGTGATTTTTATTAAATCGATATAAAATGTGTATTTGGCTTTGTTCTAATTCATCTTCATTTTTTATAGGCTATTAGAGCGCTGTTTTATTTTCTAATTTTGTTTTATAATCAAATAAAATTTTTATAAAATTGTTAAATAAAGCGTAATGTTTAGGCTGTCCAGTGCCCTGAGTTCATAAATTTGTAAACTGTGTGTATATGCAACACCCTTTCTATATACTAAGAAAGTTAAGTTATTTATAATTTTAATGCAACTTATTTTGAGAAAACTTAGTTTGAGAAACAGCATAAATCAGTTTGGTTGATAAATTGATAGGCAATCAATTTTGTTGATAAATTGATTCAATCAGTTGAAGTAATACAGTAATAATAAAGAACACAAAGCATTAAAAGAAAAAAAAGAACAAGAATGTTAGTAGAAATAGAAAATTTTTATGCAATTGTTTTTACTAATTTTTTGCAAGGTTGCATTACAAATAAGGGCAAAGAAATTAAAGATATTGAAAAAAGTTTTTATCCGGATCTAACAACATCTAACTTTGTATTTTGCACTTAAAAATCTTATTTCAAAAATCTTTATCAATTGATCTTAATCTCAGTGTTTTTTCAATTTTTTTTTTTAACTATGAAAATGTGGTTGTGACGTATGATTCTTAATTATGAAAATGTGGTTGTGGCGTATGTTTTTCAACTTTAAAAAAGTATTTTTTATGTGATATTGGGTTTACAAATAAAAAGAACAAATTTGCTATTTTAGTGTTAAATGCACTCACAAATACATATACAAAAGTTTTCTATTTAAACGTGTGTTTCCTTTCTTAAGAACCATATCATATATGATATAAGCAAAATAGATAAATTCTGGAAGTGATGTCTACAAATTGACTTCATTTTTAGATATTTTGTTAAAAATTGTAAAGTTTTTTTAAAAACTTTATTTACTTGCAGAGATATTGGGTCCCAATGTTTGGCCCAATGTAGAAAAATATGCGTTGTGCGTTGAGTGAAATTGCTGATTTAGTAGTAGTAGTATTGTATTTGCCGATTGAAAATAATTTACACTCGTAATTTATAAAAACAAATATTTACATGACTGGGGCTTGAAGAAGACAAAATTCATCTTATCATTAAGCCCCCCCCCCCCCCCCAAAAAAAAAAAATGCATATTCATCAAATAAAATATTTTAACAAAATGTAAAAAATAAAATATATAACGTTTAAAATATTTAGTAATTCAAAGAGTATTTATATTTAAGAACTGATTAGTAAAATAAGATGATATATAAGTATTAATATTACAAAAAGAATTTACAATAACTTTTTATAATAAAAATTGTTTATTATAAAATTTTTCAATATTTTTAGTAATTAGTATTTCAAATAATAAAATTTAAAAAATCGTTTGTAAATTCAAAACTTATAAGATAAGAAATACATTTACAATAGCAGACTATTGTTAGAATATTAAATATAATATTAAAGAGTAATTAGTAGGTTAATTTTTGTTTTTGTTTGCTAGTTTAAAAAGCTTTTTAGAAGAACTTTAATTCATTTTCATGTATCATCAGTAATTGCTTAAGTTTTGTTTTAAACTGGTTTAAAGAATAATTAGATTTCAGCTCATTATTTAATATTGTATTCCACAGCTTAGGACCTCGATTTGCAATTGAGAATTTGGTTGCTGAATAATGTGTTTTGGATTGAATGTAATTGTTTTTTGAAAATCTGGTAGGGTATATGTGGTTTATTTTTTCAAAAAGTGAATTAAATAACATAGGTGATATTTTTTTATTAAGTTTAAACATGAAGATAAGAATATGGTAAAGGTTTAGTTTATATACATTTAGAATATTAAGTTTATTAAATAATGTTTATTAAATAATGTTTATTAAATAATGATTTGAGGGGCAAATTTAACAACACGAGTTTTAAAAACACATTTCTTTTTTATTTTTTCTGCTATTGCGGCTAGATGTAATAATAAAAGTTCATTATGGTTATACTTTTTGTTGTCTAAAGATCACAGTTTAAAACCACTAATTTTGAAATTTCCCCCTCTTTTATAACTATTATTATCTCCTGAGGCCATTACTTGTACGTATGTTTCTTTATTGTTTTTGAAAGCCAATAAGGTATACGTTGATTTTATATAACAGTTGGGCTGAAAAGTTCGTATCGTTTAATAGAAAAACACATTTTTTTTTCAAAATTCAGTTCTATTATTCAACATAGTTTCCATCAGAGGCGATACAGCGATTATAGCGATCTTCCAACTTTTTGATACCATTTTGTAGTACGATTTGTCCTTTGCTTCGAAATAGGCTTCAGTTTCAGCGATCACCTCTTCATTGCTCTTAATTTTTTTACCAGCGAGCATTCTCTTGAGATCTGAGAACAAGAAAAAGTCACTGGGGGCTAAATCTGGAGAATACGGTGGATGAGGTAGCAATTCGAAGCCCAATTCGTTCAATTTAAGCATCGTATTCATTGACTTGTGACAGGGTGCGTTGTCTTGATGAAACAGAACTTTTTTCTTCTTCAAATGAGGTCGTTTTTTTGCAATTTCATCCGTCAAAAGCTCCAATAACGCAATGTAATAGTCACTATTAATGGTTTTTCCCTTCTCAAGGTAATCGATGAAAATTATACCATGCGTATCCCAAAAAACAGAGGCCATTGTTGAGTCTTTCCACGCTTTGGAGTTGGTTCATCGCGTGCAGTCCACTCAGCTGACTGTCGATTGGACTCCGGAGTGTGGTGATGGAGCCATGTTTCATCCATTGTTATGTATCAACAAAAAAAATCGGTTCTATTTTGATGTAACAGCTCCAAACACTGCTCAGAATCATCAATTTGTTGTTGCTTTTGATCGATTGTGAGTTCACGCGGCACCCATTTTGCACAGAGCTTTCTCATATCCAAATATTCATGATAATATGTCCAACGCGTTCCTTTGATATCTTTAAGGTGTCAGCTATCTCCAACAACTTCACTTTACGATCATTCAAAATTATTTTGTGGATTTTTTTCACATTTTCATCGGTAACAGCCTCTTTTGGGCGTCCACTGCGTTCATCGTCTTCGGTGCTCATATGACCAGTACGGAATTTTGCAAACCACTTACGAATTGTTGCTTCGCCTGGTGCAGAGTCTGGATAACACTCATCAAGCCATTTTTTGGTATCGGCAGCACTTTTTTTCATTAAAAAGTAATGTTTTATCAACACACGAAATTCTTTTTTTTCCATTTTTTTCACAATAACAAAAGTAGCGTCACTACTAGAGCAATATATCACAAACTAATAATCTGACAGCTGTCAAATTTCTACACGTATCTTTTCAAGGTTGGTACTAACTAAAAATGGAATGAATTTAATTCTAGTGGCGCCATTTCTTAGAAATGATACGAATTTTTCAGCCCAACTGTTACAAAAAAGGCATCTGTATGCAAGAGCCTAAGAAGGAATAACCTGCCAAAAATGCACTTTTACGATTAATGCGCTTTGTTAGTTTACCCATAACAACCGTAGCCTTAGGTCTGCCATGTATAAGTTACTTGGTTTCCTTATACATGCATTTTCCAATAAATGAAAAAAAAATCCATGTGCTCAAGCGATAAAAAACTTATAGAAGTCCTATAATTATTCTTATTTTACCATATTTTTAACTAACAAAATACCCGAGCAACGGTATAGAAATGCTTAGCAACGGCTACTTGACACCTTTTATAATTAGAACTTAAATTAAAACTAAAAATAAAAGACATTCTTATAATGGAACTGTACAAGACTGCTTGATAAAACTTACTTTCTAAACTTTTTTTAATGTAACAAAATACTTAACAGTAGAATCAAATAATTAAATATACTGCTTCATATAAATTCGAGCAAACTCTTGTTTTTATAAACTCACTGATTTAGTGTTGGAAAAAGTAAAATACAATTTTTCTTAAATAAAAAATCTTTATTCTTAGTCATATTATACATATCTTATCATTAAAATTTTTTCATAGAAGTCCTTTACAAAGTTTGCAAAGCAAATCAATTTTTCATTAAATGTAAGATTACAAAGCGCTTTCACGTGGAAAACATCAGTGTGATAGAGAGTCAGCAGGAGCGAAATGTGTCATCAGGAGTTTATTTGATTTTGGAAACATTTTATTGAATGCAAAAAATGTTTATATCATACATAGCATTTTAAATTCCTTTACCATATATCTTCATAATGGTAAAGGAACTTATAATGTTGCGATTATAATAGATCCCAAAGCCTCTATTTTATCAGGACAAATCTGATTCCCACAATAAACTATTATTATTCTTTTCAGTTTACTTCTTATCACATGATAGTTTGGAGATCCGAATCAAATAAAGGTAAAAAATGGAACTATGCAAATGTGACATTACATACTTCAGTTAAAACTGTGAAAATATCTATGGTTGACAGAGCATTAACTATCTTATATCACAAAATGAAAATCATGGATTTCTGGAACTAAAAACTTTATCAATATATATATATATATATATATATATATATATATATATATATATATATATATATATATATATATATATATATATATATATATATATATATATATATATATATATATATATATATATATATATATATATATATATATGTATATACACGCATCACCAAGCTGAAAAGTGTTCGGATATTATTCAAAACAAAAAACATTTGTTATACAAATGTTTATGCTTGGAGAAAAACGTGACGAGAAAATGAGTTCAGAGCAGGTTTACTAGCAGCTGAGAAAAAGTTAAAGCCAAGTGAATATGTAAAAACTAAACAAGTTTGATCATTATTCGAACAACTTTACAATAGTACTTATTAAAAACTATTTTTTGAGCTTTTTCAATGAGAATAAAGTAAAAATTTAACACTTTGAAGTGTTTGGAGGTTACTGAAAGAGAAAAAATGAAGTTTATAGAGCAAGATAACGTTTGACAGACAACTTAAAGTATTGCAAATTATATGAATTAAGAAAACAAGATGAAGGAAGCGAGTTTTAAAGAAAAAAAACTGGACGAATAAGAATTTTTTGAGCACTTAGGAACAGTCGCAGTAAAAGGATGAGACTTAATAGAATCTTTATAAAATTTTAGAAGATGATACAAAAGACGCTAGCTTTTTAAAGCAGTGCCCATTATAGTTATTTATTTATAGAAAAATATATTTATAGAAAAAAGAAAGAAAAGCAACATTAAGACAATGAGAAAATGGTTAAAAAGTAGCTGCAAGAGCAACTCCAACAATGTTTATAATGCATTTTTGCACCTTGTCTAAGAGAGAAAAGGCATCATAGGAAAATCTGCCCCAGATATGGCAATAGTATTCCATACAAGGACGGATTTGAGATTTTTAGAGATTTATAGAGAATAGAATCCGGAGTAAGAAACTAGCGAGCACGATAATGAGATGCAACCTTAGCAGATGCTAATTTTGCAATCATTTTGATATATGGTTTTTAAGAAAGATTGGAAGTAACAGTTAATCCTAGAAGATAAAGTGTATATGACTCATCGAGTACATTACCGTTTATAAATATAGAAAGATCTAGATTATTGCGAAAACAGTTAGCTGAAAAAAAATAAAAAAACTTTAACTAAAAAATTTTTATTTTAGTTAAAGTTGACCAACCACTGTGAGCCTGATGCTGTAGCAGAAGTGAGACCCTATTTCAAGCTTTAAATCTCCTTCCAAGCAATCAGAGAGAGTTGGCTTCTCATCAAGACAAGAATAAATTGTAGTATCATCAGCAAACAATGCTACTTTGATGTGATAATACCTGGAAGATCGTTAATGTAAATTAAAAAGAGTATAAGACCTATAGTAAGGAACCTTGATGTATATCTAGTATATATGAGGTATATATGACAGAAGTTTAGAACTTTGAGGAACCCCTGAAATTTGACAGAATATGAAGAAGAGTGCTGTCCATTTAGGACAACTTTAATACTACCATTGGTAAGGAAGGATTTAATAGTTTAAAGACGTTACCTGATACACCGTTAGAAGAAATCTTATGGAGAAGACCAGCATGTCAAACTTTATCAAAATCTTTAGAAATGTCAAGAGCGATAGCTTTAACAATATCCGCAAATATTTAGAATTTAAAAAAAAATTACTTGTGATCTAATTGTGTTATTTTTTACAAAATAACTTAAAATGAAGACATTTAGAAGACATCAATAACAGACTTTGCTTATATTTCTCAGATAGATAGACTCCAAATTTTTCAGATAGATAGACTCTTACGTTTTCAGATGGATGGGCTCATAAGTTTCCAGATAGATAGGCTCATAAGTTTTGAGATAGATATGCTCATAAGTTTTCAGATGGATAGGCTCATAAGTTTTCGTCTGAACATAATGAAAACCGAATAAAAAAATTTTTTTGAGTCTGTTTTAGAAAAACATCTGTTCACCGTTTTATATAGATTAAAATAAAAAAGTTATCACAAAATCTTTAAAAAACGTACTTACTGGATGGTATAAAACGTACTTACTAGAAAAATCTGCGTCCGCCCCTGTTGGTGGTATAAAACAGTTGCTTCTATTATTGCATTACAAAGATATAATGTCAATGAATCGTCCATGAAGTATTTACGCTCGGATGGGGGAGAGGGGGTCTGCAAATGGCAAATGGTTTATGATATGGAGTCAGGTGGTAAAAGTAAGGAGACATTAAATTAAAAAAAAGTATCACAAAATACTGGGTAGGTAGATTAAAGCGTAGGTACTTGTATGTTGGTGGCGGATACTTAAAAAAGAGTACAGCAAAGCTCGATTGGAGGAATGGGAGGAGGAGTATTGAAACAAAAGCGTACGTACTTTATAGACAACCCCTAACTATAAAAAACGTAAATTGTTGTGAAAACTACCTTCTTGTTTTTTAAATTTATGAAATAGAGTTACCTAGTAACTTTTAACAATAGTTTTTCCTGCATCTAAAGAACAGAAATAAATAAACTGTTTCTATTGTAATATTTTAATAAATTTGTGACAAATGATGAAGATTACTAATTTATTTGCAACTTTGCATATTTTATTGTGATTAAAAACATGTTTACTTTTTTTTCTTTGTATTCGTATTTTTTTAATTAATATATTGGTATTTGGATAATAAAAGTTGAAAATATTTTTTGTATAAAACTATTTAAAGTTTTTTTTAAATGTTTTATTCAAATGACCGTTTTTTGCTTTTTTATTTTTTTTATATATTGTAATTTTTTCTTCTAATAGGTAACAAGCTTTTTTTTTTAATTATGTTTGACCCTTAAACATACTTGCTAAACTCATATTTTTTTAACTGCAGTTTAATAATTTAAAAAAATGTACAGTAATCAAAACCTTCCTGACTTCTACTAGATTAATAGTGGTAAAAATAAATAACAAATTAACGGCAATCGATATGATTTTTGGGTTAAAAAATCATATCGATTATAATAAACCGCAAGCTTAAAAACGTCGAAAATCGTCTTTGGTTTATTTAGATTTTCTTATCTGAGAGCATGCTTTTTTTTAGGAAGGAAGCCAGAGAATATTTAAAAGATTTTCTGAATATGAATAACTTTTATATGATGAATTTTTTAATCATGTTCAAATAAATATAATAATAGCATAGAATTTTTTAAAAAGAATATAACTTTTATATTCTTTTTAAAAAATAATATAATAATAAAAACATTAGCTAGAATTTTTTGTTGTTTTTAGTGACTTGTTTCTCACTTAAATTTATTATATACTAATATTATTGATATATTTTTAAAATATTCTTTACGTAGAATAACATTAACAAATAACTCAAAAAACGATTGCAAATGAAGTCACTAAATCCAAGTTTTAATACTGAAGCACTTACAAAAAGAAAAGCAACATTAAAAAAAAAAATAATAACTTGATGTTACTGTTCAATAGTGTAAAGAAAATAATGTTAGAGGGCATGCTGCAACCATCAAACTGCATGGTTTTAAGAAAGAAGAGATATTAATTGTTTCATACCTTAAGAATAAAAATTGGGTAATGCAAGGCATAAACAAAGCAGAACTAACAAAACTTGCCCTTGATGTTCTAAAAGTTAGACAATACACGAATAAAAGGTTAAAATGTGGGAGAAAATTTGCAGCATTATCAGAAAATGCAAAAAAATGCTTTGATAAAAAAAAAGTGTCTTTGATTGATATATGTATATTTTTAAAAGGTAGTAAAAGGTAATATGG